AAATATATATTTTTTTTTTAAAGATTGAATTTTACGAGTCTCTCGGATTCGCCCCAATGAAACATACTATAGTTTCTAATAGAGCGACAACGAAACACTAAACAAAATCCCTTCGGCGGAAACAGTACTGAGAGGATTATATATAGGGAATGTCTCAACTTCACAATCCCTCAGAGTATTGCTGTTTTCACGAGGCATACCTTACTTTACTAAACATCTCATTTCGTTTATTTACTTTGATATTTACACGATACTTAAAATTTACCTACGCGTTTATTTATTCTGAAGCATTAGTATCGCCTTTATTAGACCAAATCTTACACTCACAGCAAGGTGTTTACCAACGTGAGTATTATTTGGACCACGACACTCCCACTAGATCAGAATCGTACTTGGGTTCGGCTATTGATACTGCAGGCTAAATACATATTACGTGTTTACGTTCGAAATCGTATTTTTGTCTCGTAGCCGGAATACTAGCCCAGACAAACGCTTGCCGAGACACACCGCTTGACTATTACCGAAATATAACAAAGCTGCTTTAAACTTTAAACTAATCACCAAATCTTTTGATAAATTGGTGTCGCAGGGCTGATTTATGGGAATAAGGGTACGTGTGCTAAATAAATGGCTACAGCTTTGTAATTTTCCAGAAACAATCGAGTGCTTAATGTACCACTCTCTTGATTTGGTTGTGTTGGCGCTGTTTCGTCCAGTAATTCACATGGTCATGACTGTCGTGTGGACTTATGCAATTTTTAGCTGCGTTTAACTTATGGCATGTCATGTTTTGGGTACACTGCCCGACAGATATCGTAGTGATCGGTAGCAACAAAACTGTCACGACAAACACAGCGAAAATAACGATAACGGTTTTGATGAGAATCTGATTTTTCTTAGTTTGGTAATGACTACATATTGAGAATTGCACAAGCTGAGCACTTTGTATTCAGTTTTATACTTGGCAAATCAAGAATGTCATCCATGCCACCACAGTACCACCCAGTCAACCACAGGTTATATTCTGAAGATCTGTTTTTAATCCGAATCTGTAGAATTCAAGTGTCAGCGTTTCAACAATCAATACGAGGTCTCATTTCTGATTTCGTAGCGTCTAACATGTTGGTACAAGTCAATGTAGAACTTTAGACGCGTGTAAATAGTAGCTCACTCACTCATATTTACAGGTCACTGATCTATCTTCTTATTGGTAGAACTATTATTTTTAAATTTGTATTTATGTACAGCTGGAATGTCTATTTGTTTTAAAAATTATACAAGGCTTGAATATTTAAAAAAAAAGCTGGCGTAGAAATCTATTTTTAAATAAAGCTTGATGAGTCATCGATAAATATTTGATTTATTGCCGATTAAAAAAATATACGCTATGCATATTCAAAATTCATAGCCTGGGCTGCCTGGCGGCCTGAGCCCTGAGGCGGCCTGAGTGATTGTGCCTCCTATCCACGTCAGGTGTAAAAAAAAATAGAGGGTATTTAATAAACTTCAACCATTCTTCAGCGAAAGCGTACAAACGTTGGATCTTGATAGTAGCGAATAATGGCAGATATAAACGCGGATGTGGTGTCTGACGGTGCCGTGGAAGTGGATGACAGCAGCGGTATGACCAATGATGCAAATCTAACTTTGGCTGCTTTAAACCAGACTTTTGAAGCAATTGCTCCCAGTAATATTTCAGATATTCAGCTGCCACTTCCACCGCTGCCGGCCCCAGGGTTGGTAGAGGCGTCTCTATCGCCATCTCCTGTGCCCTCTATCACCCTCGTATCTACGATTGATACCCTTCCGGTGCCAAGTGTATCTTATGTGTCACACAGCACAGTGTCCAGTGCTACACCCTCTCACTCACTATCCCTCTCACCTGCAGTATCCGTAACCCCTACTATATCAGCTGTCGATATAAGTATATCACCTACAATGACAGCTATTAGTAGCGTAGCTGCATCAGTACTAGCCTCGGTGTCGCCATCACCTGTAGTAAGCAGTCTACCTTCAGCATCACTAACGCCAGCACATACCATCTCTGAGGACAAGCATATCGATACGAGTGTGCTGGTACACGCCTGGATACCCTTCACTTTCGCATGGGTCGTATGTGCAGCCTTCACACTGTCCTTTGTACTGTTGTTCAAGTCTAAGACACACAGCAAGTGGCAGGCAACTCTGCTGTGTGCACTCACATGCATCACCACTCTCGCGCTGTTCATACTCCTGCCGGTAGATGTATTCCTGGTCTCCGCCTCTAAGATGAACGACGGCACCTTGGCTGCGTGGGCGAGTGAGGGATCTATCGAATGGGTACAGTCATTAATGTCACACGTGTATATGGGGTTGTATACTACGCTGCTACTGCTGATATTCTTTGTGCTGCCGTTTGCGTTTTTCTACTTTGACGAGCCAGGACCGGAGACTGCCCCACCCGCGTCGGTATGTGAAATCAATCGGAGTTCTGAACACCGCATTGCGTTTTCATCGCATGTTTATGAAATAACTACGAATGTTTCTCGATGCAAAACTTTGTCTTGTGTTGCTTGCGATATA